TGGAGAACCTTTTGCATATTCACTGACAACAAACTGACTGCATGTATCTCGTTGAATAACAATCTAGAATGATCCATCCAAGGGCTATTGCAATAAAGCATAGACAATCAAGTAATCAAATAAACAATGATTAAACCTATTGAAGTTTTGCATGTAAGTCCTGTTGTGCATTCCATGAACTCAAGAAGATACTTTTAATAAAATACTGTTTAAACAAACACTGTCCTGCACAGCAAATCTATTTTCATAGCAATTGTTTTTACATTTATTCATGTGACATTGACATCATTGGTTAGACCAGTGTTTATTGCCTGTCCTTAATTGTCCTGGAAAAGATAATGATGAGTTGCCTTTTGAACCACTACAACTCTTGGGGCGTAGGGACACCTACAGTGCTAGGAAGACGGCTTCAGGATTTTGACCCAGCAATAGAGAAGGAATGGCGACATTGTTACTAGTTGGGATGGCTTGTGTGACTTGGTGGTATTTCCATGCATCTGCAACCCTTGTCATTCTATGTGCAACTGGTCAAGAGCTTGGAAGCTGCTGTGAGACAGTCAGTAACAGTGGTTGTTGATCTCCAGTCTGAAATGTTTGTTAAGAATCCACATTTAGTCAGGATTAATAATGTGTTTTAGGCACATAATAACCATTATTTCTTAAAGCTAGAACATCCCATAAATATTACACCATTAAATTGCATTATGACTCAGAGGTACATTGGAAATGTGGTTTAAAATAATGAACAATTCATTACTGTTTCCTTCTATGAAGCACATTTTTAAAATGTCCCAATTGAAGGCACTTGAAAAATGCAAGGTGCTATTGGTGATGTGTATAAGATGCAAATGATGCTGACCTCTGCTATGTTAGTTGAGGGATGTGCAATTAGCAGGGACTGGCTGAGGCCAGTAGAATGTGTAAAGAGACCACATAATTGTAAATGTCAAATGTTTGCTTATTCTTTTAAAAGAACGTCAGATGAATGGTGCTTCAAATGGATTCATTGAAGAACAATGTGCTCTAACCAAATGTTTTCAAAGCGTAAATTGTAATTTCAAGTCAGAACAGCTTCAGGTTTTTGTTATGTTGCCACTAATTTTATTAGCAGCCAGAGACTTTTGAACAGCCATTATAGAAAATGTAGGCTGTGTATTTAACTGAAATTGAATTGTTTTGCAGTGTTTAAAAATGAGAAAACAGGTTATATCAGCAACTAATACTTAATAAACTTTTCAAATAGTTACAAATATTTCAACATAAAGGACAACCTAACCATTGGCATTCTTCTGCAAAATTTACTTTGAAAATAATGTATAAAGGATTTTAGTTGGAGAAATATTTCTGAAATTACTTGAATATTCATCAAAATTGTGCCTGGCATGGATTCTTTTCCTAAAAGTTTTAAAATAACCCATCCCTCATTGTGTTCTGCCCAAGGCCAGGTGCTTATTCAAGGCACACAAGATTGTTGAGCCACATAGAGTAGGTTGAGGTGATTTTCTGTTGTCTTCTTCATTGTTTTCATCTTGGAGAATCTTCTTCCACATGGCCATTAACTGAGGCAAAAGTAGCCAACCTGCTCTTTAGAATGTGGTAGGGGAGTGCCCAAGGGATAAAAATACCTTCCCCATTTCCCTGGCATCTAATCCATGCTTAGAGTATCTTGCATCAGTTTTTACAGCGGAGAAGGACGTGGAAGTTAGAGAGCTTGGAGAAATAAATAGTAATATCTTGAGATATGTCCATATTACACAGGAGGAGGTCCTGGATGTCTTAAAATGCATAAGGGTGGATAATTCCCCCAGTACCTGATCAGGTATACCCCAGAACTTCTGGAAAGTTATGAAAGTGATTGCTGGGCCCTTTGCTGAGATATTTTTGTTATCGATAGACACAGATGAGGTGCTACGAGATGGGAGGTTTGGCTAATGTGGTGCCATTATTTTCGAAGGGTGGTAAGGAAAAGCCAGAGAACTATAGGCTGGTGAACCTGACATCAGTGGTGGGTTAGTTGTTGGGCGGGATTTTGTGGGACAGGTTTCATGTATTTGGAAAGGCAAGGACTGATTAGGAATACTTAACATGGCTATGTGCATAGGAAATCATGTCTCACCAATTTGATTGAGTTTTTTGAAGAAGTGGCAAAGAAGATTGATGAAGGCAGAGTGATTGTCTACATGGACTTCAGCAAGGTGTTTGACAAGGTTCCAGGTGTAGACTAGTTAGCAAGGCTAGATTATACAGAATACAGGACGAGCTTGTCATTTGGATACAAAATTAGGTTGCAGGTAGAAGACAGAGGGTAGGGGTGGAGGGTTACTTTTTGGACTGGAGGCCTGTGACCAGCAGTGTGTTGCAAGGATTGGTGCTGGGTCCACTGTTTTTTGTCACTTACTTGGATATGAACATGGGAGGGATGGTTAGTAAGCTTGCATATGATACCAAAATTAGTAATGTGGTAACTGTGACAAAGGTTACCTAAGAGTACAACGGGATCTTGATTAGATGGGCCAATGGACCAAGGAGATGCAGATGGAATTTACTTTAGAAAATTGTGAGGTGTTGCATTTTTGTAAGGCAAATGAAGGCAGGACTTATAAAATTAATGATAAAGTCTTGGGGAGCGTTGCTGAACAGAGAGACCTTGGGGTGCAGTTTCATAATTCCTTGAAGGTGGATCCACAGGTAGACAAGATAGTAAAGAAGGCATTTGGCATGCTTGCCTTCATTGGTCATTGCATTGAGTACAGGAGTTGGAATGTCATATTGTAGTTGTACAGAACTTTGGTTAAGCTACTTTTGGAATGCTGCATTAAATTCTGGTCTCCCTGCAATAGGAAAGGTGTTGTGAAACTTGAAAGGGTTCAGAAAAGATTTACAAAGATGCTGCCAGGATTGGAGGGTTTGAGCTATAGGGAGAGGCTGAATACACTGGGACTATTTTCCACGGAGTGTCGGAGGTTGAGTGGTGACCTTTATAGAGGTTTATAAAAACATGAACGACATGGATAAGGTAAATAGCCAAGGTCTTTTCTCCAGGGTAGAGAAGTCCACAACTACAGGGCACAGGTTTAAGATGAGAGGGGAAAGATATAAAAGATATAAAAGGGACCTACGGAGGAAGTGGTGGAGGCTGGTACAATTACAACATTTAGAAGGCATCTGCATGGGTATATGAATAAGAAGGGTTAGAGGGATATGGGCCAAATGTTGGCAAATGGGACCAGATTAATTTAGGATATCTGGTCAACATGGACAGGTTGGACTGAAGGGTCTGTTTCCATGCTGTACATCTCTGTGACTCTATGACCTAACTGTTTATTCTTGGCTGACCAAGGCTATCTGGGCTTGGATTTAAACCTGACGCTTCTGACTCAGAGGTATAATTATTATCACTCCATTAGTGGTGGCTTCAAAGTAGCACTCAACACAAACCAATGCTCTATTGCAGAACTGAAAGAGTGATGTAGTCTAAGAGATGCTGTCCATAGATAAGATGTAAAACCAAGATCTGTCCTGCACTCAATGGGATATAAGAATACTGTGACACTGTTTTGACCAATATAAAAACAAATCATCTGCACATTATTACATTGCTATTTATGATAATTTGCATGCATGAATTTCCAATATCATGAAGTGAATACATTTAAAATCAGATGCAAGCACCTTGAGACTTTTGAAAACATGACTTATAATTACAGATCTCTTTGTTGGTTCCTTAAATTAAATGATAATTTGTTTAACTGTTAATGTGTAGCATAAGAGTTACACAACATTTAGAATAATGCACACAATTCTGGTTGCCTTTCTGCAGGAAAGATGTTGTTAAGCTTGGCAGGGCACAGAAAAGATTTCCAACGATGTTGCTGGTACTGAAGAATTTGAGTTATAGGGAGAGGCTGAAAAGGCTGGAGCGTTTTTCCCCTGGAGCATCGGATGTTGAGGGGTGACCTTTACAGAGCTTTATAAAATCATGAGGGGCATGGATAGGGTGAATAGCCAAAGTTGTTTTCCTAGGATGGGGGAATCTAAAACCAGAGCGAATAGGTTTAAGGTGAAAGGCAAAAGATTTAGAAAGGACCTGAGGGGTAACTTTTTCATGCAGAGGGTGGTGCATGTATGGAATGAGCTGCCAGAGGAAGTGGTGGAGGCTGGTACAATTAGAACGTTTAAAAGGCATCTGGATGGGTGTGTGAATTGGAAGGGTTTAGAAAGATTTGGGCCAAAATGCTGGCAAATTGGATCAAGTCAGATTGGGATGTCTGGTCAGCACGTATGAGTTGGACTGAAGAGTTTGTTTCTGTGCTGTATAACTCCATATCCATGGAAAGCGTTGCTGAAATGCTGCTCCAGTATTTTAAAGGGATTCTGGAATATCCATGAATTCACAGCTTTTCTACCTTACTTACATATGTTTGATTTTGTAAATATGAATTCTTGTTGTAACGAACACTTATATAAACAACATCAGCCACAAAACACTGAGCACACCTTACATATCAAGTGATAGAAACTTCTTGATATGCTGGTCATTTTAAGTATGTTAACTGTTTCCCTGTTCTAAGTGAATCCTAATGGTTAATCAATGCATCAAAAATGGCTTTAAACCTTCTAATTAACAACATTAACAACAAAGCCAAGTGTTTGGAAAATAGCTATTTCAAGAAATAAACAGGACTGTAAATCATGGGGTGAAAGAACCGGGTTAAATCTTTGGTTGACATCGAGTTGATTTTGAAACCTCTTTAATGGGCTTCAATTACAATATGGATTTTTTGGAATAATGTATTAATGGCAACTTTTCCATAGCCTTTGTCTAATAAAATTTGTACGGTTTCAAATCAGCAGTATTAACATCATGCAACTTATACCTCAGGTTATCTGTTATTCACAGTTTTTGATAGAATACTTCAATTTTTATTGTGTTTATGCACTGGATTATCATTGTAACAGGACAATCTGATAATGAATTGACGTTGTGTTTATAATTACAGCACCAAATCCTTGTGAGTCCAATAATGGCAAAGGGCCATGTTCTCATTTGTGCCTGATTAATTACAATGGAACTGCTGCATGTACATGTCCTCATCTAATGAAACTGGCCCCTGATGAAAAGAACTGCTATGGTAAGTGCCTGAAAATCTGTCAGATCAAAATAAAGCCTTATAACCAATTTTCAACAGCAACAATAACAAGGAAATGTCTACTTCATGTGACAGGAAATTCATTTGAAATGTGCACTACTAACTCATACAAGTTAGGAAATCTTTTCTTAGCAGGTGATGTTTGAAGCTCCATTTTAAAAACTTGAACACAAAAACTAGAGGTTCAGTTGGATTTTATTTTTCGGTACTTCCAGTGCAATTTGCTCGAAATAGTCCAAACCTGAGCAAAATACTGTGGCAGTCACATATAGTGGCAATTGTCTTCCCAAGGACTTTTGTACTGTTTTAATAATATTCATGCTGGACTCACAAACTGTTGCCGTCATCAGGTTGAATTAATGACCCCACGACAAGTTTCTCTTAAGTATGCCCATCTGAGGATCGTCCTAAAATTAGCTTTTTGTTCAATGTAGCAATAAAATAGCCAAAACAAATGAAAGAACTGCAAAATGCTGGAAATCTGAAACAAAAGCAGAAATTGCTGGAAAATCTCAGCAGGTCTGGCAGCATCTAGAATCATAGAATCCTTACAGTGCAGAAGCAGGCCATTCAGCCCATCACCACCATCCCTCCCACCCAGATCCACCCCCAATCTTCTTTCTGTAACCCTGCATTTCCAATGGCCAATCTACTTAGCCTGCACATCTCTGGACGCTATGGACAATTTAGCATGGCCAGTCCACCTAACCTCTACATAGAATCAAAGAGATGTACAGCACAGAAACAGATCCTTCAGTCGGACTCATCCATGCCAACCAGATATCCTAAATAAATCTAGCCCCATTTGCCAGCATTTGGCCCGTATCTCTCTCAACCCTTCCAATTCATATACCCATCCAGATGCCTTCTAAATGTTGTAATTGTACCATCTCCTACCACTTCCTCTGCCAGCTCATTCCAAACACACACCACTATCTATGCGGCAATGTTGCCCCTTAGGTCCTTTTTAAATCTTTCCCCTCTCAACTTAAACCTGTAACTTCTAGTTTTGGACTCGCTTACCCTGGGGAAAAGAACTTGGCTATTCACCCTATCCATGCCCCTCATGATTTTATAAACATCTATCAGGTCACCCCTCAGCCTCCAATGCTCCATGGAAAATAGTCCCAGCCTATTCAGCCTCTCCCTATAGCCCAAACCCTCCGACCCTGCCAACATCCAGACCAGAAGTGAACACAGTATTCCAAAAGTGGCCTAAACAATATCCTGTACAGCCTCAACATGACCTCCCAACTCCTACACTCAATGTACTGACCAATAAAGGCAAGCATACCAAATGCCTTCTTCACTATCTTTTCTTCCTGCGATGCTACTTTCAATGAACTATGAACCTACACTCCAAGGTCTCTTTGTTCACCAGCACTCCCCAGGATCTTACCATAAAGTGTATAAGTCCTGTCCTGATTTGCCTTTCCAATATGCAACACCTCACATTTATCTAAATTAAACTCCATCTTCCCCTCCCCAGCCCCACCAGCCCATCTGACCAAGGTTCTGCTGTCCTCTACGGTAATCTTTTTGCTGTCCACAACATCACCAATTTTGGTGTCATCTCCAAACTTACTAACCATCCCTCCTATGTTCACATCAAAATCATTTATAAGCAGTGGACCCACCATCGACCCTTGTGGGACACCACAGTTCACAGGCCTCCAGTCTGAAAAGCAATCCTCCTCCACCATCCTCTGTCTCCGTGTGGCCTAACCTTGCTAACAGTCTATCTTGCAGAACCTTGTCAAATGCCTTACTGAAGTCTATTGCTGTAACTTCATCAATCCTCTTTATTACTGCTTCAAAAAACTCAATCAAGTTAGTGACACATGACTTACCACAGACAGAGCCATGTTAACTATCCCTAGTTAGTCCTTGCCTTTCCAAATACACGTAAATCCTGTCCCTCAGGAGATCCTCCAACAACTTGCCCACCATCAATATAAGGCTCTCCAGTCTACAGTTCCCTGACTTTTCCTTACCACTTTTCTTAAATAGTGGCACCACGTTAGCTAACTTCCAATCTTCCGGCACCTTACCTGTGGCTATCGATGATAATAATATCTCAGCTGGGGGCCCAGCTATCGCTTCCCTATCTTTCCACAAAGTTCTAGGGTACACCTGATCAGGTCTCGGAGATTTGGAGGGCGGCACGGTAGCTCGGTGGTTAGCACTGCTGCCTCACAGCGCCAGGGACCTGGGTTTGATTCCACCCTCGGGCGACTGTCTGTTTGGAGTTTGCACATTCTCCCCACGTCTGCATGGGTTTCCTCCAGGTGCTCCAGTTTTCTTCCACAGTCCAAAGATGTGCAAGTTAGGTGGATTGGCCATGTTGAATTGCCCATAGTGTTCAGGGATGTGTAGCTTCGGTAGATTATAGGGGGATGGTGGGATGTTCCAAGGGTCGGTGTGGACTTGTTGGGCCAAAGGGCCTGTTTCCACACTGCAGGGATTCTATGATTTATCCACTTTTATGCGTTTTAAGATGTCCAGCACCACCTCCTCTGTAATATGGACATTTTTCAAGATATCACTGTTTATTTCTCCGCATTCTATATCTTCCGTATCCTTCTCCATAGTAAACATTGATGCAAAATATTCATTTGGTATCTCCCCCATCTCCTGTGGTTCCACACATAGGCAGTCTTGCTGATCTTTAAGGGGATCTATTCCCACCCTAGTTACCCTTTTGTCCTTAATGTATTTATAGAATCCCTTTGGATTCTCCTTAATCCTATTTGCCAAAACTATCTCATGTCCCCTTTTTGCCCTCCTGAGTTCCCTCTTAAGAATATCAGAGTTAATGTCTCAGGGTCAGTGACCCTTCTTCAGAACCATGTTATTTTTCAAAATAACCCCATTTTCTTTGCAAATATTGAATGATTAATTTGCAAGGAAACTGACCAATGTCACTTAAATTAGTAAGTGTTCTGTGTTGATTCTTGTAGTGTCATTATCAATTGCTTAAAATATGATTATTCACAATTTGGAAGTTATTCACGAGAATGTTTATTTCTTTCGATAAATGCAATTCTAGCTATGTTAATAAAATCATATAGATTACCACTTATCAATTAATCTAGAAATGTCATTTAATGCAAATAAAGGACAATTTTGATTGAAATGCTACCCAGCTGCACTAGTTAGTGAACAATTTTATGTTTGCCACTGCATTGAGCAACAACCTGAATTATAGTCAATAGATGTGAAGCTGGAAAAGCACAGCAGTCAGACAGCATCTGAGGAGCAGGAAAGTCAACGTTTCAGGCTTAAACCCTTCATCAGGACTGGGCAGGGGAGGGAACCCCAAAAGTAAATAGAGGGAGGGGAGTGGGGCTAGGAGAAGGGGAGGTGGAATGGTGATAGGTGGATATAGGTAGGGGGTTATTGTCATCGGTCAGTGTGAAGGCTGGAGCGGATAGGTTATTAGGAAGATGGATAAGTCAGGTCAAGTCAGGCAGGTGAGAAGGAGGGGGAGGGCTGGACATGGGATGAAACTGGGGGTGGAGGTATTTTGAAGCTGGTGAAGTCAATAGTCAGGCCATTGGACTGTAAGCTCCCAAGGCAAAATATCAGGTGTTGTTCCTCCAGTTTACGTTTGGCCTCACTCTAACAGTGGAGGAGGCCAAGGATGGACTTGTTGCCGGGGAATGGGAGGGGGTATTAAATGGATGGCAACCAGAAAGTCGGGTTGTTTGGTACATGTAGAGCACAGATGCTCCTGGAATGATCCCCGAATCTGCGTTTGGTCTCCCCGATGTAGAGGAGACCACATCAGGAGCAAAGGATGCAACAGATAAGGTTGGATCAAGTGCAGGTGAATCTCTGCCAGATCTGAAAGGATTGTCTGGGGCCTTGGACGGAGGTGAAAGGGGAGGTGTGGGGACAGGTGTTGCACCCCTTGCGTTAGAAAATTGGTGGGGAATGTAGAGCTGCAGAGGGAGTCGTGGAATGAAAGGTCCCTGCGGAATGCGGACAGGGGTGGGGAGGTAAATATCGTTTTGGCAATGGGGTCTGATTGTAGGTGGCGGAAATGTTGGAGGATGATGCGTTGGATTCAGAGGTTGGTGGGGTGGTACATGAGGACTAAGGGGACTCTACATTATTGTTATCGGGGGGGGGTGCAGTTTGAGGGCAGAAGTGTGGGAAATGGAGGAGATGTGGTTGAGGGCATCCTTAATTAGAGAGGAGGGGAAACTACTGTCTCTAAAGTAAGAGAATATCTGAGATGTCCTGGAGTAAAATGCTTCATTCTGTGAGCAGATGCAGCAGAGGTGGAGGAATTGAGAGTATGGGATAGCATTTTTGCAGGAATATGAGTGAGAGGAGGTGTGGTCAAAGTAGTTGTGGGAGTCAGTGAGTTAGAGATGGAGACAGAGACGTCCAGGAACGGGCAGGATGTGTCAGAAATGGTCCAAGTGAATCTGAGGGCAGGGTGAAAGGTGTTGGCAAAGTTGATGAACTGCTTGAGCTCCTCAAGGGAGCACGAGGCAGCATGGATGCAGTCATCAATATAGTGAAGAATGAGGTGAATGATGGTGCTGGTGTAGTTGTGGAAGAGGGGCTTTTCCATAAATCCTACAAAGAGGCAAGCATAGCTTGGGCCTAGGGCCACCCCTTTGGTTTGTAGGAAGTGTTCCCAGAGCGGGTCGCGCCTGGCCGCCTGTGCACTTCTGACCAGAAGTGAGAGCCCTTCGGGGCTTGTGTCTTCACCTCACCGACTTAGTAAAAAACGCAATGAGACTAGTGGTATTTATTTACGTGTCCCACTTATTTCTACATCTCTCGTATCTCTTCATAGTGCCAGGCTAGAGTCAAGCTTAACAGGATTTTCTTTCCCCGCTGATTCTGCCAAGCCCGTTCCCTTGGCTGTGGTTTTGCTAGATAGTAGGTAGGGACAGTGGGAATCTCGTTCATCCATTCCTGCTCGTCACTAATTAGATAATGAGGCATTTGGCTATTTAATTACACTCATGTGAGGGCCTAGCCTGAGTCTTTATGTCACTCGTCGACGTGCGTCAAACCTCTAGCATTACTTCATCTTTGGGACAGGGCCATGCCGATGTTATATGAGGTACGGCAGGGCAGCGGAATGACTGGGGGCATTCAAGTCACAATCATATATTGGGTAGCCTTTTCTAAGTTACCAAGCGTGCTCTTCCAAATGAGGAGGGGGTGTAAACTGAGCATCAAGACTGAAGGATCATTAGTTAGAGAAAGGAGTCATCATCTGATGTGCTGCGGGTACACCTTTTTTCTTTCTTTCTTTTATAAGAGTTTTTTTTGGTGTTTTTTTTGTGGAATTTTATATAATTTTGCTTTGTGGAATTTTATATTTTTCTAATTTTTCCGCCAACATGTCATTTGGTACCCATCATTATCTGGAACACCTTACCCTGACACTGGGGTAGGCTTGCCATCACTAGTCCGAAGCTAGGCTTTGCGGTTTTATCACCGGTTGCTGAAGATTTGAAGGAGCTCGAGTGTTAGGAATATCGTCAGTCTTGAGATTTGTTGTGGGAAGGATTTGTATCTCTTTATGTTGAGGAAGTCCGTCAATTTGTTGTTGAGCTTCAGCCACTTTACTCTTGCCCCTACAACAAACCCACAAAATTTTGGCTTGAGGCCTCCAGTCCATTCTTTTATTTGCAAGTTAAGATGCTGATATTTTCTACATTTTTCTAACCATGCCTTCTTGAGCACTTGTTGTCATCCTCTTGGTGGACGGTGACATCTACCACTGCTACTTAATTGCCTTTCCTGAATATTATGTCCGGCTTCCAAAGACATCCATCCAGGGCCACCAATCTTGATTCTTGGTATGACACCCATCCATACTTGGCGACATACAGGCATTGCTGGTCAAAGACCTTGTTGTGGTGTTTGATTCTTGGGTTCTTTACAAATGAAGAGCAGTCAGAAATATGGTGGAGGGTTTCGTTAGGAGCCTCATATCTCTTATATGTTTTGATTACATTTGCTCTGCCCTTGGTCAGGGTTGCCCGAATTGGATACAGGTTGCACTGTAGCAGTGGGTTGTTGATTACTTGAGAAGATTTGCTCTGGTAGGTAGACTTGATCCACATGCTGGAGATCTTGTCACCTTCAAAATATGAGATGCCAGCACCCTAGCTCTTCAGTTTGCCTTGGGAGTTTACAACCTAATGGCCTCAACATTGACTTCACCAGCTTCAAAATCCCTCCGCCCCCAGCCTTATCCCATGTCCGGCCTTCCCCTTCCTCAGCACCTCCCTGACCTGACCTAACCTAACCTTCCATCTTCCTACTCACCTTTCCACTCCACCCTTCCCACTGACCAATCACAACAACCTGCATCCAACTATCACTGTTCTACCTACCCTTCCCCCAGCCCCACCCCTTCCCTCTGCTTACTTCTGGGCTCCCCCCCTCCCCTACCCAGTCCCAATGAAGGGTTTTGGCCCAAAACATTGACTTCCCTGCTCCTCAGATACTGTCTGACCTGCTGTGCTTTTCTAGCTTCACATCTATTGACTCTGGCTTCCAGCATCTGCATTCTTACTGTCTCCAAAAGTGAATTATAACTTGATTTCAGAAAACTAACTCGATTCTGAGCACAGTTTGCATCCGTATTGGCATTATACCCAAAAATGGAACTTAACCTTACAACCAATGCTGATTGTTATGATATGATGTGGAGATGCTGGCGTTGGACTGAGGTGGACAAGGTCAAAAATCACATGACACCAGGTTATAGTCCAACAGGTTTATTTGAAAACGCAAGCTTTCGGAGCTCAGGTCCTTCATGATCTTGGGTTTATGTCACACTACAGGTGACCCCACCACACTATATACTCCCACATACACACTCACACACATGGACAAATACACACACACTGTCTCACACAAACACACTTACACACACACTCGCACACTTACACAGACCCTCTCACACACACATTCTCTCTTACACACTCACACATACACACACACACTCTCACACACATACACTCCCTCACACTCAAGCACACACACAATCTCTCTCTTTCTGTCTCTCTGTCTTTCGCACAACACACACACACACACACACACACACACACACACACACAGAGGCACACATACACTGACACAGACACACATGAATTATTTCATCAAAGGTGTTTATGTCACTGCAGATACATTCTGTTTTGCACAAAAGCACTCTGACCCCAGTTTAAAGCATTGACAGATTCTAAGCAAGACCTCACACCTAAAATGCATTGCCTGACCTGAGATGTCACCTCTTTTATACATTAATAAAACCTTTAATTATCTCAGGACAATGACTTGAAAGGAATCTGGATTTTGCATTCTAATCGGGAGTCTCCTTCCTAACTGATTAAAGATTCAACAAGAGGCAGCAAGTTTCAGGGTTGTTACCTTTCTGCTTATAAATTCTGTATCTTATACCCTCTTTCACCTTACATCTGAGGAAGGGGCTGAGCTTCAAAAGCTTGCGTTTTCAATTAAACCTGTTGGACTATAACCTCGTGTTGTGTGATTGTTATGATACTGAGGAAGTGCAATATTGTTGGGGATGCTACAATGTAGATTATGTATAAAATTAATGACCTGTTTGCTTGTGTAGTTGGATGCAAAAGATTCCATGGGGTTATTTAGGAATCAAAGAATTCTCATGATCATCAACTGTCCTCAACAAACATCATCAAAATAAATTGACTTGGCAGTTCTTCTGTTTTGTTGAACCTTGCCTTGAGCAAATTGCTTGCTATGTTTGCAGCAGTAAGGGCACATTAAAGATACTTAATTTGGCTGTGAGTCCAGTTCAAAGATGTGAAATGTGTATGGAAATGTAACTTCTGTCAAGGCAGCATTGCCTTGATTCAACCCAAACATTACCAACTGAAATATTCAAACAGTAATTGAACTGACCACAGTAACGAACTCCCTTTAATTATGTTGACTTACTGGCCCCCAAAATTGCAGTTAAAGTGAAATTTTGCTTCATTTTCCACATCTGACCAAAAGCCTAATGAAATTTCTAAGCATTTTAATTTTGAATAGATTTTCAATATTATTGCCCATAGCAACTTGAGCAATTCTTATCTCAAAGTTAATTAAACAGAAAACCAAATATTTGTCTTTCAGACTTGCAATAAAAGGAAAGAGAAAAGAAATTAGGTTGAGTTAACACAGCCTTAGGGTTGTCTTTAATATTATTTTGGATGGAAAGGCTCCAATAGATGACTAATTGAAAGCAAGTGAAGATTTAAAAGATTTCTAAAGTAGTTCTAAAATCAAGAGAGGGAAGAAAAGTTGGTTTAATTTTAAAGTTAATTCATTTCTCCTTGAATTTCTCTGTTTAGAAATGTCTCATTGATTTAATAGCTAATGTACTGCTCTCACCCTGTCATCATATTCAAACATCAAGCAGGATCAGTCGTAAAATAGCTTTTAACAATATTGAGACTTTTCCTTATTTTATGCAGAACAAAAGGAGTTTTTTATTTATTCAAGAAATTCAGAGATCCGTGGAGTTGATGTTGATAATCCATACTACAATTACATAACACCATTTACTGATCCTGATGTCAGTCAAGTTAAAACAATTGATTTTGATGCCTTCGAAGAACGAATTTATTGGTCTGATTTAAAGCCGCGATTTATAAAGCGCGCCTTCATAAATGGCACAGGGATAGAAATTGTCATCTCAGCAGGTAAGTAGGAAATAATGAAGAAAGTTACATGTAGTACATGGAAATATGTTGTGATGTGATGTGGTTTAAATCTTCGTTATCTATAGCAGACATTCAGTTGTTAAACAGATGGCTACAATGAGGATACGAACAATGGATTGACACAGTTAACATGCCTTTTGTCATGGGATCCTATCTGGAATGTGAAGCTAGTGAAATTGCTAAGTCTGGCAGACCAGAAGAGACCAAGGTTTTCTATCTAGTTTATGCAGTATTATTTGATATATATCTTGGGATTAGCAGCTGGGGATGTAAGGGATTGGGGTGAGTGCAGGCAGGGAATTTTAAAACAATTACACATCCCTGGACTGGGGAAGATAAAATCTCTAATTAATGACTGCTCCCAGTGATACCAAGTCGAAGGGAAATTGATTTGACCAAAATTGATTTGAATAATGGCAACTTGTTGAAATGCCAAAGCCTATGTGGAACCGCAAAGATGCTAGCTTTCGAGAAAGGAAAATCGTGTGGAAGCATTTATTGAGAGCAAATTATTGGGCTGATTGGAGTCGGAACAAATCAATTTGATATATGTAAATTGGAAGACCATTCCGTGATTCATACTTATTATCGCCAGGTCAAAAGTCAATTGGTCATTTGCATTTGCTTCATTTAAAGACTTTACTGTCAATTGTTGGGGAAGTTTCTTGAGAAGGTGAAGGCCTGGTTGTTTTAGTGCCAGACTGTAAATCCAGAAACTCCGCTAATGTTCAGGGGACCTGGGTTCAAATTCTGCCATGGCAATATTAATTCAATTGAATTGAATTCAATTAAAACATGTCTGGAATTAAGAGTCTACTGATGACCATGAAACCAGTGTCAATTGTCAGAAAAAGCTGCCTTCACCCTCTGGTCTGGGTTACATGTGACTCCAGACCCGCAGCAATGTTGTTGACGCTCATCTGCTCTCTGAAATGGCCTTGCAGGCCACTCAGTTCTATCATTTGCTACAAAGTCCCAACAAAGAAATGAAGCTGGATAGACTATACAGTAGTGACCTAGGCACTGAAAAGGCAATGGCAGAATTAGCCTTTTCAACCCTGCAAAGCCCTCCTTACTAATAGGAAAGAGCTGTATCATAGACAATTGTCTCAACAGCCTGACATAGTCATAGTCATGCATTCAAACCTTACAGACAATGTCCTAGACACCACCATCACCATCCCTGGTTATGTGCTGTCCCACCAGCCAGGACAGACCCAGCATAGTCAGGAGGACACTGATGCCAGTCTCCATGAAGTCTTATAGCTTCAGGTTAAATATGGGAAAGGAAACCACCTTCAAATTATTACGTACTTACCACATGAATCAGTACTTCTCCATGTTGAACAGCACTTGGAGAAAGTGCCAAGGGTGGCAATGTCACAAAATGGACTCTGGGTGGGTATTTCAATGTCAACTGCAGCACTACTGATCAGGCTGGTCAGGTCCTAAATGACATAGCTGCTAGACTGGGTCTGCGGCAGGAGGTAAGGGAGCCAACAAGATGGAAAAACATACTTGACTTCATCCTTACCAATCTGCCAGTTGCAGATGCATCTACCCATGACAGTATCAGTAAGATTGACCGCCACACAGTTCTTGTGGAGACAAAGTACTACCTTCACATTGAGAATACCCTCCATCGTGTGGTGTGGCACTATCACCATGCTAAATGAGGCAGACTTTGATCAGATCTAGCACCTCAACACTGAGCATCCATGAGGCACTGTCAGCCATCAATAGCAGCAGAATTGTACTCCCGCACAATCTGTAACCTCATGTCTGGGCATAACCCCCACTCAACCATTACAATTAGGCCATGGGGATCAACCCGGGTTCGATGGAGAGTGCAGGAGGGCATGCCAGGAGCAGCACCAGGCATTTCTGAGAATGAGGTATCAGCCTGGTGAAGGTCACCAAACAGGACTACTTGCAGACCAAGCAGCATAAGCAACAAGTACTAGATAGAGCTTAGCGATCCCATAACCAATGGATCGGATCTATGCTCTGAAGTCCTGCCACATCCAGTCATGAATGATGGTGGACAATTAAACAATTCACTAGAAGAGGAGGCTCCACAAATGTCCCCAGTTTCAATGATAGAAGAGCCCAATTATCAGTGCAAAAGACAGATCTGAAGAAATCACAGCAATCTTCAGCTGGAAGCAGCAAGTAGATGATCCATCTCGGCCTCCTCCAGTGGTCCACAGCATTTTGTTTTTTATTTATTCATTCGTGGAACATGGGTGTTGCTCCTTGGCCAGCATTTCTTGCCCACCCCTAGTTACCCTTGAGAAGGTGGTGGTAAGCTGCTTTCTTGAACCACTGCAGTTCACATGCTGTGGGTTGACACATAATACTATTAGGGAGAGAATTCCCAAGACTTTGACCCAGCGACAGTGAAGGGACAGCCAAGTCAGAACAGTCAGTGGCGTGGAGGGGACCTTGTGGAAGTGTTCCCACATAACTGCTGCCTTGTCCTTCTACATAGAAGTGGTCATGGGTTTGGAAGGTGCTGTCCGAGGATTTTTAGGAAATTTCTGCATTGCATCTTGTAGATAGTACACACTACTGCTATGGAGCGTCGGTGGTGGAGGGAGTGAATGCTTGGGGATGTAGTGCCAATCAAGCGGACTGCTTTGTCCTGGATGGTGTCAAGCTTTTGAGGTTGTTGGAGCTGCACTCATCCGAGTGGGGAGTATTCCATCACACTCTTGACTTATGCCTTGTAGATGGTGAACAGGCTGTAGAGAGTCAGGAGGTGAGTTACACGCCACAGTAGTCCCAGACTCTGACCTGCTTTTGTAGCCATTATGTTTGTTTGGTGAGTCCAGTTGAATTTCTGGTCAATGATAACCCTCAGGATGTTGATAGTGGGGAATTCAGTCATGATAACACAATTGAATGTCAAGGGATGGTGGTTAGATTGTCTCTATGGGTGATAGTCAATGACTGGCATTTGTATAGTACAAATGTTACCTGCCATTTGCCAGCTCAAGCCTGGATATTGTATTTGAACATGGACTGTTTCAGTATCTGAGGAGACAAGAATGGGGAACATTGTGCCATCATTGGCAAACATCCCCAGTTCTGACTTTATGATGGAGGGAAGGTCATTGATGAAACAGCTGAAGATGGCCGAGGACACTACCCTGAGGAACTCCTACATAGATATCCTGGAGCTGAGATGACTGACCTGCAGCAACCATGAAAATCTTCCTGTGTGTCAGGGATGACTGCAACCACAGGACAGTTTGCCCCCTGATAACGATCGATTCCAGTTTTGTATCAGAGATACCAGTATTCAGCCAATTCAAGTTACTCCATGTGACATCAAGAAATGGTTGGAGGAACTGGATACTGCAAATACTATTGGCACTACAGCATTCCAGTAATAGTACTGAAGAATTGTGCTCCAGAACTTGCCAGTTCCACCCAAGCAGCTACAACGTTGGCATCTAGCCGATAATATGGAAAATTGCCCAGGTATATCATGTGCACAAAAAGCAAGACAAATCTGACCCAGCCAATTACTACCTCAAAAGTCTCTCTCAATCATCAGTAAAGTGATGGAGGGTGTCAACAACAGTGCTATCAAGCAGCACCTGTTCAGCAATAACCTACAGTGACGCCCAGTTCGGGTTCCGCCAGGATCACTCAACTCCTGATCTCATTACAGCTTTGGTTCAAACATGGACAAAACAGCTGAATTCCAGATGTGAGGTGAAAGTGACGGCCATTGACATCAAGGCTTTACTTGACTGAGTAGGCTATCGAGGAGCCCTGGCAAAACTGAAATCAATGGATATCAGGGGTCAAACTCTCTGCTGGTTGGAGTCACAGCTGGCACCAAGGAAGATGCTTGTGGTTGTTGGAGGTCAGTTATCTCCACTCCAGGACATCTCTGCAGAAGTTTCTCATAGATGTTGTCCTAGGTCTAACCATCTTTGCTGCTTCATCAATGACCTTCCCTCCATCATAAGGTCAGAAATGGGAATGTTTGCTGATGATTTCAAATGCAACAAGATTGGGACAATATCCAGGCTTGGGCTAACAAGTAGCAAGTAACATCCATGTCATACAAATGCCAGGCTATGACCATCACCAATAAGAGACAATCTAACGACTGCCCCTTTACATTCAATGGTGTTGCCATCACTGAATCCCCTACTATCAACATCCTGGGGGTTACCATTGACCAGAAACTTAACTAGATCTGCTGCATAAACACAGTGGCTACAAGAGCAGATCAGAGACTAGGAATATTACAGTGAGTAACTCACCTCCTGACTCCCCAAAGTCTGTCCACGATCTATAATGCATAAGTCAAGAGTGCGATGGAATACTACTCACTTGACCGGATGGGTGCAGCTCCAACAGAAGGTTGATACCATCCAGGACAAAGCAGCCAGCTTAATTGGCACTATATCCACAAGCATCCACTCTCTACACCACCGACACTAAATAGCAGCAGTGTGTACAAACTACAAGACGCACTGCTGAAATTGACCAAAAATCCTTACACAGCAGCAGATACAGGGGAATACCACCACCAGCAAGTTCTACTCCAAGCCACCCACCATACTGACTTGGAAATATATCGCCGTTCCTTTGGTGTTGCTGGGTCAACATGCTGGAATTCCCTCCCTAAGGGCATTGTGGGTTGACATACAGCACATGGACTGCAAGAAGACAGCTCACTACCACCTTCTCAAGGGCAAGTCAGAGTGGGCAATAAATTCTAGCCAGCCAGCAATGCCCATGTCCCATGAATGCATTCTTTTTAAAGTTTCTAGAGTAGATCAAAGACAATATTATGCACTGTAGCAAATTTGGTGCATAGGCTGGAAACTAATCTCCTCTGCTGGGCTGGAATGGAGGTGGAAGGTGGGAGGCTGCTATCTAAGACCTTTACATTGCATTTGCTGCTTTACAATCAATGGTAGGTGGGGCAGTTGCTATACTGAGAGCTCACAAAGCAAGCAGTTTTGTATTTGCTCACAGTTTACAGGAAGCTCTCATTATCAGGCACTCAGTGCCTGATTGGGAGACCCTTGATCAAGAAGAGGAGGCCTAGTAAGAGCCAATCCTCACACCACACCGGCCCAGGCAGCAATCCCTATTCCACTTCCACTCACCTATGGCCTTGTCCCCACATTAGTCCTGTGAATAATGCGACAGTGATCACCATTCCCTGTGGTGATTGCCTATTATGGTGACCACCTGCCTCTGCCAATATTTTACCCCTAACTGTGGGAAACCCATATCGTTTGCAGAGCCCAGCAGCTTTGGCTGCACTCTCTCATTGGAGGGTAAGCAGCTGGGGTGGCATGGAGAAATCCTCCCATCCCCATAAGTCACTTCCCCCACTTTAACCCTGTGCCCTATCGTCCTGAATCCAGACATTATCACACTTCTCCCTCACTACACCCCGCTCCCACCACCACCCCCACCCATTTCGTCCTGTTGAAACTCTCAACACTGGCATACCTGAGCTTCCAAGTGTGATGAGACAGGCTGTACTCCCAGCAGTGGCCACCAATCCTACTGGCACTGTGTGGTCTGCAAAGCTACTGGCCAGTCCAATTAGTGGACAGTTCCCACAAAGTTCAGTCCATTGATAACACAGTGCGCCATTCAGATTTCATTCTTTTTTCTGCAAAATCTGATGATAATCTGCTCATTATTTTTAGTTCTATTTGCTAATTGTTTAAGCCCAAACATTTGTACATTAATGTAGAAAATGTATCACAAGGCAGCAGCAATTTTCCTTGCCAATGACATAACAGTATTTTTGTGGTTTGCAGATAGATTTGTGTTGGTAAAATTCATAATTATTTCTGAAATATTTGTGGGCAGTGAAGATTTATAAAAAATGAAGTAAGAATTTATCTTTTGGAATAATCACTGACATTCAAATGGATGCGTGTTTTAATTTTTAGAAATGCTAATCTCTACACCTTATATCCACACTTTATATATTTAGCATATGTCTAACAGAACAATACGTCTTCTGTCTTTGTGAAAGTTTGTATTTGCTTTTGAAGTTCAAATAAATTAGCTAATGATACTTAAATTTAGGAAAGTTTACACAAAAGTATATGGAACTTAGAACACAGAAAAAGGTGATTTGGCCCAGTTCAGTCTGTGGCATGGTTTAAGCTCAGTCTTCTCACATTCTGTGCAATTTCTTCTTTCAGGCTGAAATACCATCTCTTTTTTATACGCTTATGTATTTTTTTATCTGCTTATCTATTTCCCTTAGTATTGGTTGTTTTTCTGAATAACTTTTCATATTCTGTTCTCTTTGTTCATAGACTTACCATACGTTCATGCACTTGCAGTGGACTGGGTTTCCAGAAATATATACTGGACGAGTTCTGATTTAGAGGAGTCTCAAATAAATGTTGCACGTTTAAATGGATCCCTACGGACTTCTATCATCCATGGACTTGATCATCCACAGTGTTTAATAGTGCACCCACTAAAAGGGTAAACTGTTGTACAATATAACTTATTGCTCTAAGTAAATAATATCAGGTTTGCATTGTCCACATAACGCCATAATTGCTGCATTATCATCAATTGAAGCACAGCAGTGCAAATATGGTGGAGATGCAAGTGAAGATTAAGTGTTGCTTGTTTTTCAAAATAATTATTAAAACCAGTGGGGTAGAAATTGAAATCTAAACGTCCTGATTTTATCTTGGAGCAGGACATTGTTGAATGTCAAAACCTCTAAAACACTGCAGCATGAGGCTGGGAGATTTAATTCCCAGGTTTAATCTGCATTCTAAAAATGAACATCAAGTGATTGCTTGCTGATAGATGGGCATAAGTTTAGGCAGCAGCATGAAAGTTTGCCTCATGAAGCTCTTGTGGGACCACAGGCCTCAAGTTTCTTTGGGGCTCGGCAGTCTTTTGTCATGTACTTCTGTGTCCACATCCAGAAGTTTGGGTTCGAGACAGATTGGCCAAGAAGACTGCAATGTCAGGAACTGTCTTTAGTCTTTAGCTTTTTTTTGAACTGTTCAATGCATATTAATGCTAATTACTTTTTCACATGGTATTCTGAGATACAGCAGGCCCTACACTTAGTGTCACAATATTGAAAGACTACTTTCAACATTGTCTTGTCCTTATCAATTTAGGATACTCACCTCCACCTCACTCTGCCTCCTTGGTCCTATTTAAGTTCAATGATTCTCTATGGTATCATTGCAAGATTGCCCCAGGGTCCTAAAGCTCTTAAATGACATGCAGGATTAATTATGCCCTTGCAGAGTCCACAAAGGAAATGTAAAAAGAAAACAATTTTATTGTCCATTTTTCACCTTCAGTTAGGGCTGCAATAGTTTCCTTGCTCATGCCAGGCATGAATACACAATATGAGAAGAGCAGGGTTCGATTATCCTTCAGTTATTCATTCTAAAGTTTTGCCCTGACTCCCACTTTGAGCATGAGGGATTTTTCCTTATAGACATTTGCCAATAGCATCTCTGGCTTTCCATTAGCTACTTAGCTCATATCCTCAAAGAAGTTCATTGAGAAGGATTGGAATTGACGACATTGTCAGAAGATGGACAGAGGAATCGATTAAGCACCATTTGAGAACGTTTCTAGCAGCTGTTCCTTTGAACTATGCCTGGTTACGTCAGACTATATATCATTTGTAATCTGTTTATTAGAATCATGCAAATAAATTAATGGACTCACATAATACAACTGCTGTTCCTGTGCATTAGCCATTGGAACAGCAAAAAGACTTTGGAAATCTGAAGCACAAAGAGACCGAGGAGTCCTAGTTCAGGATTATCAAGTAGGTTCGGTTGGCAGTAAGAAAGGCAATGCAAGATTAGCGTTCATTTTGAGAGAGCTAGAATACAAGAGCAGGGATGTACTGCTGAGACTGTCAGACAGTATGTGGAATATTATGAGCAGTTTTGGGCCCAGTATCTAAGGAATGATGTGTTGGTTTTGAAGGGGGTCTACAAGAGGTTTGCAAGAATGATCCCGGCATTGAAGGGATTGTCATATGAGGAGTGGTTGAGGATTAATTTTTCCTTCTTTATTCATTCACGGGCTGAGGGTGTTGCTGGCCAGGCAGCATTTATTGCCCATCCCGAATTACCCATAGGGAAGTTTAGAGTCAACCACATTGCTGTGGCTCTGGAGTCACATGTAGGCCAGACCAGGTAAGGATGGCAGTTTCCTTCCTGAAAGGACATTAGTGAACCAGATGGGCTTTTCCTGACAATCAGCAATGAATTTCTGGTCGTCATCAGATTCTCTTAATTCCAGATATTTATTGAATTCAAATTCCACCATCTGCCATGGCAGGATTTGAACCTGGATCCCCAGAACATTATCTGGGTCTCTGGATTAACAGTCCAGTAATAATACCACTAGGCCATCACCTCTCCTCGCCCCAGGTCTCTACTCAATGGAGTTTAGAATTGTAATGGGGGATTGCATTGAAATTTATAGAATATTTAGAGGCCTAGATGAAAGTAACATGGAGAAGATGTTTCCACAAGTAGGAGAGACCTGAAGGCATAAACTCGGAGTGAAGGAATGATCTTTTAGAACTGAGATGAGGAGGAATTTCTTCAACCAGAGAGTGGTGACTCTGTGGAACTCGTTGCCACAGAAGACTGCGGAGGTCAAGTCATTGATTGTATTTAAGACAGAAATGGAAAGGTCCTTGATTAACAAGGGAATTGTGTTGTGTGGCACTATCACTGTGCTAAATGGGACAGACTTCACACAGATCTAGCAACTCAAGACTGGGCATCCATGAGGCGCTGTGGGCCATCGACAGCAGCAGAATTGTACTCCAGCACAATCTGTAACCTCATGGCCCGGCATATCCCCCACTCAGCCATTATCATCAAGTCAGGGGCTCAACCCTGGTTCAATGGAGAGTGCAGGAGGGTATGCCAGGAGCAGCACCAGGCATACCTGAAGATGAGGTATCAACCTGGTGAAGCCACCAAACAGGACTACTTCGACACCAAACAGCGAAAGCAGCGAGTGATAGACAGAGCTAAGAGATCCCACAACCAACGGATCAGATCTAAGCTCTGCAGTCCTGCCACATCCAGTCATGAATGGTAGTGGACAATTAAACAGCTCACTGGAGGAGGAAGCTCAACAAATATCCCCATCCTCAATGATGGAAGAGCCCAGCACATCAGACCAAAAGATAAGGTTGAAGCATTCGCAGCAATCTTCAGCCAGAAGTGCCAAGTGGATGATCCATCTCGGCCTCCTCCAGTGGCCCCCCGTAATACAGATACCAGTCTTCAGCCAATTGGATTCACTCCACGTGATAATAAGAAACGGTTGGAGGCACTGGATACTGCAAAGGCTACGGACACTGACAACATTCTGGCAATAGTACTGAAGACTTGTGCTCCAGAACTTGCCACTCTCCTAGCCAAGCTGTTCCAGTACAGTTACAACACTGGTATCTACCCGACAATGTGTAAAATTATCCAAGTATGTCCTGTACACAAAAAGCAGGACAAATCCAACCCGGCCAATTACCATCCCATCAGTCTACTCTCAATCATCAGTAAAGTGATGGAGGGTGTCATCAACAGTGTGATCAAGCAGCACCTGCTCAGAAATAACCTGCTCAGTGATGCCCAGTTTGGGTTCCGCCAGGGTCTCTCAGCTCCTGACCTCACTACAGCCTTGGCGCAAACATGGACAAAACAGCTGAATTCCAGAGGTGAGGTGACAGTGACAGCTCTTGATATCAAGGCTTCATTCGACCGAGTGTGGCATCAAGAAGCCTGAGCAAAACTGGAATCAATGGATATCAGGGGGCAAACGCTCCGGTGGTTGGAGTCATACCTGACACATAGGAAGATGGTCGTGGGTGTGGGAGGTCAATCATCTTAGCTCCAGCACATCTTTGCAGGAGTTCCTCAAGGTAGTTTCCTAGGCCCAACCATCTTCAGTTGCTTCATCAATAACCTTCCCTCTACCATAAGTTCAGAAGTGAGGATGTTCACCGATGATGGCACAGTGTTCAGCACCATTTGTGACTCCTCAGATACTAAAGCAGTCCATTTTCAAATGCACCAAGATCTGGACAATATCCAGCCTTAGGCTGACAAGTGGCAAGTAACATTCGCGCCAAACAAATGCCAGGCTATGACCATCACCAATAAGAGACAATCTAATCACCGTCCCTTGACATTCAATGGTGTTACCATCACTGAATCCCCACTATCAACATCTTGGGTGTTATCATTGACCAGAAAGCAAGACTCACCACATAAACACAGTGGCTACAAGAGCAGGCCAGAAGCTAGGAATACTGTGAGGAGTAATTCACCTCCTGACTCCTCAAAGCCTGTCCACCATCTACAAGGCACAAGTCAGGAGTGTGATGGAATACTCCCCACTTGCCTGGATGAGTGCAGCCCCAACAACACTTAAGAAGCTTGACACCACTCCCTCCACCACTGATGCTCAGTAGCAGCAGTATGTACTATCTGCAAGATACATGCAGAAATTCACCAAAGATCCTCAGACAGCCACTTCCAAACACACGTCCCCCTCCATCTAGAAGGCCAATGGCAACAGGCATATGGGAATACCACCACATCCATGTTCCCCTCCAAGGCACCCACCATCCTGACTTGGAAATATATTGCCGTTCCTTCACTGTCGCTGGGTCAAAATCCTGGAATTCCCTCCCTAATAGCATTGTGGGTCAACCCACAGCAGGAGGACTGCAGCGGTTCAGGAAGGCAACTCATCACCACCTTCTCAAGGGCAACTAGGGATGGGCAAGAAATGCTGGCCAGCCAGTAACACCCACAACCCACAAATAAATAGAAATCAATTAGGGAGAAGGCAGGAGAAAGGATTTGAGAAACACATCAGCCATGATCAAATGGCAGAGCAGAAGAAATGAGCTAAATGCCTAATACTGCTCCAATATCACATAGTTTTATGATATGGAGGTGTTGGTGTTGGACTGGTGTGGACAAGGTGAGAAATCACACGACACCGGGTTATAGTCCAACAAGCTTACTTGAAAACACAAGCTTTCAGAGTCTTACTTCTTCTTCAGGTGTTAGTGAGAGAGGTAGTATCAGGCACAGAATTTATAAGTAAAAGATCAAAGGGTCACACCATTGTGGAGGATGTACTTAACAAGGGGAGGTGAGTCTTGGTGGGATGCTCTTCAGAGGGTCGGCGTGGACTCGATGGGCTGACTGGCCTGCTTCCACCTTGTAGGGATTTTATGATTCTGTGATTTCATGATAACTGGCCTGCAGACCAATAACTGCCTCACTTTTCCTTAGCACACAGAACTCACCAAATATTAGTGAGCATCCTCTTTATTCTTTTAACACAAAAATGTTCACACATCCCAAGACTTCCTTTAATCTGATCCACCAAAATATCCTCCTGCTCACCAGCATCCAGCCAATCCCCATCCCAAGTTCATGACACCTACTGCCCCAAGCCATTTCAGAAGCCCTTTGCCACTTGCATGTGCAGAATGCGAGAAAACTTTCCCACACTACTGCCACTCTCCAACACATCTCACAGAATCACAACAGTACAGAAAGAGGTCATTTGGCCTCTTGAGTCATACCGACCCTCTGAAGACCATCCCACCCAGACACAGATCCCCACCCTATGCCCCTAACTCCACATTTACCATTGCTAATCCACCTATCCTGCACATCCCTGGACAATGCAGGGCAATTTAGCATGACCAAGCCACCTAACCTGCAGATTTTTGGACTGTAGGAGGAAACCCATGCAGAGAATGCACAACCTCCTCACACACTGTCACCCAAGGCTGAAATTGAACCCGGGTGCCTGGTGCTGTGAGGCATCGGTCCCAATGGGCTTTCAAATCCTGCAGCTTTTCTCTTCTCCTATGCTCTTAAGCACTGGCACAATCTTGGTTCCATAAAGTTGCAGCACTGCCAACAAAAAATAATGGATTTCTACATTTCATTCTCAGGATGTTGGTATCAGTGTCAAGACCAGAGGTTTATTGCTCATCCTTAACTATCTTGAAGTATCTGTGGGCCTTGTTGAACTTTGGTGATCCAAGAACCAGGCTGCTGTTAGATCGAAAGTTATGGAACATTGACTCAGCAGCCTTGCAAAAAAAAATGATACACATCCAAGCCAGGATAGTGTGTAACTTAGTGTGATGATGGGCACATTATTAAAATTTCCTTCATTTTCTTTCATTCAGGGTATGATTTGCTCGTAGATGCTGGAAAAATAAAAGAAAATCAAAAATGGTTGCCCAACTTAGTCAGTGCATTTGATATCATAAAATCCCAACATGCAGAAGCAGGCCATTCAGCCCATCAAGCCCACACTATCCCTCTGAAAAGCATCCCACCTAGACCCATCCCCCTACATTTCCCATGGTTCAACCACCTGCCTGCACAGTTTAGCATGACCAATCCACTTAAACTGCACACCTTTGGACTGTGGGTGGAAACCAGAGCACCTGGAGGAAACCCACCCAGGCAGAGGAAGAATGAGCAAACTCCACACAGACAGTTGCCCAAGCGGGGATTCAAACCCAAGTTTCTGGTACTGTAAGTCACTGTGTCGACCAATATGTTATAGATGTCATCTTTGTCTTCGGTGGTCATGGCAAATAGTTTGTTTCATGTGTCCAACATCAGCTGCTATCAAAGATAAGTGGGATGTTGTAAGTGGTTGAGCTAGGATTATAAATTGATCTAAAAACACCTTTGAGACAATTAAGCACAAATCGTAAGGCACTACAAGAGTTTATAACATATAACATTTCTTGTGCTATTTGTGTGATTAGTTTTAAACTTTAATTAATATATGCATTGCTTTCTCCAATACAGAAAGCTCTATTGGACTGATGGGAACAATATCAGTTCAGCAAACATGGATGGCAACAACATCAAGAATCTTTTTTCAAATCAAAGAGAGCCTGTTGGTAATTCAAAAATTTACTTTTTTCAATTACTGCACTTGTGATAGTGGGCTATGTAACTATGGTAACAAAATTACTTTTTAATAGTTTAGTTTATTAAATTATTGTGCCTTCTGAGTCTGTAATTGCTTATGGAGTACACACAATAAATAACCATGAGTTAAAAATAATGTATTTGCAAACAACATTTGCAGCAATCAAGAGTTTCAGTTACAGAATAACACTGACTAAAGATTTTTGGAGCTTCATTAATAACCACATTATTGTCTTGAAACACAGGCCATTTGTCTTGAAGAGGGGCAGTGCGTGAAAGTTGTTTTTGTCAGGATCAATTCCATGAATAGCTTATTCTTAAAATGATACTGTGATAATCACTGGGTGAATAATTCATATAGTAATGGATACCTTTTATGTTACAGCTTTAATTGCTGGGAATATCTTAATCCTTCAAATATGTATTTATTTCTTTGAGAAGGATCTAGTGGATGATAGTGAAGTATTGGATTTTGTCTTTCTATTGATGCTGTCTAACATAACAAACTGATTCACTCTTTATATGGCAGAAGCTAAATGACAAAATATTAGGCTGCATTAAGGTTTTGGAGTAGATCTGTAGCTCGGGTTGTGGGTGTTGAGTTTGGTTGGCTCGCTGCGCTGGTTTGTTGTTTTACAGATGTTTTGTTACCATGCTTGGTTACATCCTCAGTGCAATCTCCGATGAAGCGTCGGTGTGTTTTCCCACTTGGTTTTTAAACTCTGGAGTCTGTTGAGATGGATTGCCTCACTTCCGGTTTTCCTTTGTAGTGGAATGTATATGGGGTTGAGTTCAATGTGTTTATTAATAGCATGCTTCGTGGAGTGCCATGCTTCCAGGAATTCTCGTGACTGTCTCTGCCTAGCCTGTCCCAGGATCTTGGTCTTGTCCCATTCGAAGTGGTGGTTCTCCTTGTCCATGTGGATTGAGATGAGTGAGTATTGGTCATGTCTTTTTGTAGCCAGTTGGTGTTCATGTACTCTTGTTGTTAGTTTCCTTCCTGTTTGTCCGATGTAGTGTTTCTCACAGTCTCTGCAGGGGATTTTGTAGATGACATTGGTCCTGTCCATGGCGGAGAATGGGTCCTTGGTTTGGGTGAGCAGTTGTCGTAGAGTTGACATGGGCTTGTGTGCCACTCTGATGCCCAGTGGTCGTAGGAGTCTAGTGGTGAGTTCCGACGTGTTCCTGATGTAGGGTAGTGTGATGAGTGTGTCGGGGCGTGTAGAATCTTTCTGATGCTGGTCGTGTAGGCATCTTCTGACCCAATTCTTTGGAAATCCATTATCCTTGAATGCTTGGAATGCACTTAGGCTGCATTGAAATATCACTGGAAGCTGGACAATAACACATTGTACTTTTGTGAGGAGTTATTAGATTGGGATCTCACAGTTGGTATCATTGGGAGTGTTTGCTAACTCGTAGCCTACTCACCCTTAATTCCGATAGCAATGGATTCAAGCCCCAGAGAAGGAAACACAGAGTCTTGGCTTATGTTCTGATGTTGAAGTGAATTTTTCAGATGAGAAACTAAACAGATTAATGTAAAAGATCCCCATGACAATACTTGAAGAAAAACAATGAATTTCTATGCAATGCTTTGGCCAATATTTACCCTTCAATCAACATCACCAACAAAAAAAAACAGCAGGTGATTAGTTATTATCACATTTTTGTTTCTGGGACTTTGCTGTGTTCCAGTTGGCTTTGTTTGTTCTTACACTTAACAGCGATTATGTTTGAGGTATTGCATCCGATGTAAGTTCTTTGCAGTATCCCAAGTTTCCATTTGACTGTTGCTTTTATTTTACTGGCACACTTTTGATGTCAGATACAAATTTTGGGCTTTGGTATATATTTAATGTCTTAAATCAGTAAATGGCTGTAAATTAACTGTGTAGCTATGTTGCTAAGTACAATGTTATAATGCAAAGACACCTGGAGAGGCTAAATCAATGTGCAGATAAAACTAAACATACATTAGTGGCAAATTTTGTGATTCAGTAGAATAAGTGAAAATACAGAACATACGTTAAATGACTTGCAGGAGTTAACAAAACAGGAAAGTAATCTTCACTTCTGGTGACAGTCATTAAATCACATCAATATGTTGTCACCTCCAGAAAACATGACATGCTGGAATGTAATGGTGACATATAGATCAAAAGAAGAAATTTTGAAGTTTGTTCCAACCTTGATGAGATTGTATTTGGAGCATTAAATTTGAGTTTATTGGCTGCCTCAGAATCATTGTCCTTCTGACTGATCTGGGAGCGATTGATGCCACACGTAATCCCATTCTGCAACCCAGCAATTTCTATGCAACTGGCAGTCAACTGGATGACCACCATGGTGCTGGTGTTTGCCTTCAGCAAGATATTTTGTACCTGAAGAAGCAATACTTATATTAGCTCCCATAACATTATTAGACTACATGGGCAACATAGTACTGAAAGACGCGAGAGGCATTTAAAATACCTTCTGGTGTGTGCATCAGTCATGGGATTTTCAGGGTCTGGGCTGAATTAAACTATCCAGTTATGAACAGCAGCAAACTCTTACATCAGCATGCCATGTTTCAAATGGCTCCGGTTAAGAAATCCTAAGCCTTTATACTCTCAGAACACATGTGATACATGTGATACAGAATACAGTGATGATATCATGATATCAGGTTATGCTGGAACTGTACAAAAGGTTGGTTAGACCATAGCTAGAGTATTGTGTGCAGTTTTGGAATCCACATTA